AGTGTGTCTGAAGTTTTTAATTTTTTTATATTTTATATTTTTTAATATATATATATATATATATATATTTCTGATTACACTAAAGGTTATTTTTAGTAGAGAAACGTGTTTGATTTTGCAATCCCTTTTTTTATTTTATTAATCAATGGAATTATTAACAACCGGCCTAAATTGAGAAGTCCTACTAAAGAAAAATTGTGTCTCCGGCAAGAGTAGAACCTGCATCCCTTTTCTTACCTCATGGAAACCACTTCTTAAGGTAAAGTGTGCCTCGGACTGACAATGCAAAGGTAGAATTGCCTATTAAGGAAAACCTGTTTTTCTCGTTGGGACTTTTACGAGTTTACATGCGTTAGATTCGGTTTCCCGCCGGCAACCTAAGCAACAGTCATTTTGGAAAAGAGGTTTGATCCGACATTATTACTTATAACTTTATTCTTCCTTCAGTCTCTGACCAGCAACGCTATGTCTGGCTACATCCATAGCTAACCCTAGCCCAATCTGCACCATTGGGCTAGATGAAGGTTCGTCTGATCTTTCACACGTCTTGCTTTTTAATCCCATTGAGTCTCTAACCCCTATCCTTCCCAGTAAAGCCTGGAATGGAACTGGTTTAGTCTTCGATGTCCCCATCACGCTACAGATAGCGCTGGGTTACATGGTACATTACATAAGCAAGAAAAAGATTTTGAATTTAAAATTACTTGCAAAGTCAGCAGGAAAAATGTTATATGCCGTATCTATGAACATTAATGGGTATATCCCAATCCTCATAAATATGTTGGACACTATTGTAAGTGGGGTTAATATGTTGTCTAAGTAGTCTACCACTAGCAGTGGTTTACCTACTTCACGCCGCTGGCGAGTATTATATTTTTGTTATAAAGAATACGATTTCATTTTCCATATTTCGCTTTGGTTATTCCTCATTCAGTAAACTTTTCTAGGTTACAACAAAAACAATTGACTTTCTCAAGGACAGCTACCCAATTTACAGATTCAAGAAATGAAGCAGTGGAGAGCTATGACCGCTTACACTCTAAAGGAAGATGGCAACTAAGGAAAAGGATGTTTGAATTCAGGCCTGTAGAGAGGCGAAAAAGATAGTCTCTGCGTGTATGAGAGCGCCACTGCGTTTATGTGTATGTGAGTATGTGCGTGTGTTTATGATCGATATTGAGAATTAGAAATGAAGAGGAAGCAAACAGGATGAAGGAAGCCGTCGACAAGAAGAAGAAGAAGAAGAAGAAGAAGGAGGAGGAGGAGGAGGAGGAGAAGAAGAAGGAGGAGGAGGAGAAGAAGAAGAAGAAGGGAGAAGAAGAAGAAGAAGAAGAAAGAAAAAAGAAGAAGAAGAAACAAACGTGTCTCATAATCAGACAGACATATGGTAGGTTTGTTCTTAAGAATCGAATTCAGAAGAGGAAAATCCTTAAAAAGCCAAAGGATTTTTTAACAATAAAACCACTTGAATTAGCTGTCACTAGTCGAGATAAAAGCTAAAGCCTCATTTATAACTGACAGTTTCCAAAGGAGATTTTTTTTATTTTTGTTTTGTGCCGCAAACCTGTTAATCAAATGTTTGAAAGAACTCAGCCTAGCGAATTCAAAGCACCCAGAAACCTTCAGTTATTAACCCACCAACTTTTCGCCAAATTTCTTTCAAAGTTTAAAAAGAAAAAGAATATATTTGAACGTGTCTTGATTTCTTGTTCGTGATAATGTTGCAAACGGTTCACAAATGCTTTTTTATAAATGCCTGTGATAATTTATCATTGAAATATGTTGCAAATGACTACCGTTAAAATGCTTAAACCAATTTTGGGCATTACGCTGAGACATTGTTTAATTTTTTCCCGAAAGCTGTGAGCAGCTTCAGTGTCTTTGACGACAAATTTCAAATAATGGTTGAAGATTGTCAATGAACATGCGATTAAACAGCACAAATTATTTAAGCAAAAAAAATTACTTTCTCGTATTTACCAGTGTTTTCTCAAAGACATGGAGTACGCGGTGAGGTCTGAATTCATTATTAATGTTCCTGTAAATAAATATGTATGAATACAACATGGGAACCAGTAATAAGGAGTGCTAGTGAAAAGCAATGAATGGCAATATAAGCTCTGGTAAAAAAAATTGGTTGCTGAGATATGAGGTTTATAAGTCCCAAAAATTCATACACAGATCAAGGACACATGGTCCAGTGGATAAAGACGTTGGTTCGATCCAGTGACTAGACCCAAAGAGTTGTGAGTTCAATACCAGGCCACAGTAAAACTAGGAGAGCTGAATTAAAGGTAAATAACTGAGATGGCATTAGAACAATGTACCGCTAGACGATATAAAGGGTTCGTTTCGAAATTCCAATCACTTGAAGAAGGCCGGAGCGTACAACAGCCGAAACGTGGCAATGAAGATGAGGATAACAATGCGAATAATGTAAATAATGCAAGTAAATATGTTAACCTTTACACAACAATGAAGTGACTTAACCCACTATTCA